ATCTTTAATGCCTCGTGGGCGGAAGTTAAAGAAAAAGATTATCATTGAACAATGCAAAAACTGCGGTCTCATAATTAGTTAATATATATATATATATATATATATATATATATATATATATATATAAACAAATGAGAGAAAGAACAGATGAAGTAAAAATCCATTGTTCGTAACATTTACTTTTGAAAAAAAGTGCTCAATAAAAAGTAGAGCAATATATTATTTTATTATTTTAAATAATAATAATAATTATATATGCTCTTTTTATGTTTCTCTCATTTATATATATATATATATATATATATATATATATATAGAGAGAGAGAGAGAGAGAGAGAGAGAGAGAGAGAGAGATATAAAAAGTCCCTGGTCCGACCAATTTGTGTTTCCTTTTATAAATCTTATATTTGATTAGATTTGGGAAGGGTAACGACGAAATGAGACTTTTACAGCATCATTTAGTATATATATATATATATATATATATATATATATATATATTATATATATATATATATATATTTATAGGCACGGTATTTCAAAATATGTTTCATTGAATAATGTAGACATAATATGTCTACTTATTTTATACTTATCCTTTCCATTTGTCTAATCAGTTTCTTGATGGTTGGAGAGCGCCATATTTCTTTTTAGCCCAAGCACTTTCGAGCTTTTATAAGATCATCTTCGGGGAGAGGAGGCAATTACAAAGACAAACTTATTGTAAATGCAATCAAATCTTCATTCCGTTGTGATAATGATCTTGCGAGAATGCTCCTGTTATAATTATTTTAGAATTTTTAAATGTATCCTTCGTAGATATGGAATTTTTTTACAAAACGAACATATCAAGATAAGGGAGCTGACCAGAAAATTGGTAAAAATCTAAATTGGCATTAAATGTTATATGTATTTTAATATGTTGTTGCTTTATTCGTAATAAATTTTGTTCAGTGTTGGTTGATTGCTTTTGATATTGCCTCGAGAATTTGTAGTTTTTGTTCATTATTTTCATATTGTAGTATATTGGTGTTTTCAACATGTATTTTTCTCTATTGTGAAGGTGGACAGGAATAATTCTTTAAATGTTGTGCGATAGAACTTGTATTTGATAAATCGAGTGCAAGACGTCTCAGGTATTGCTCGTGCAAGATGATGTCTACCTAGAAGCACATATGCCCGTAGTCCTGATGCAAATAAACGATTCCTTGGGTCACATTTGCTTTGAGTCTTTTCCTATGCTTCTCATAGAACCCGGTCTACGCATGAAGGAATGTACATTTAACTTGTATTGCAAACATGCAAGCACAACATACACGTCACGTCAAACATGCATACAAATCCTCCGAAAATTCCTCTTGAAATCCCAAAATCTTTGAAACGAATTTCATTGAAAAGAATTAACACGTGTGCATTTCCGTGCATCAGACGTACTTGCACAAGACTCTTTCATTACATACGGAATTTTATATCCATATGCCTCCCCAAATAACAAATCCAAATAAATAAATTAATTAATTATAAACTGCCCCCCCCCGCCCAAATAACAATAAACTAAGGCAAGCAATCTAAACATTGGACGAATAAATAGCTTTAATTATCTTCCCAGACCAAAACAAACTATTAAATAAGCGACCTATGCAAATCCACCCACAATTTTTTTACTACTTAAATAAAACATCAAAAACCGAAAAGAATAAATAATATAAAATGAAAATGAAAAACAATTAAAATAAATTAACCCAAACAAATAAATAAGTAAACAAGCCACAAGAGAATTTGCTGACTAAATATACTAATATATATATATATATATATATATATATATATATATATATATATATATATATATATATATATATATATATGAAGTACGTGAATTTTACGTGTTTTCAGACTAAAAAGAACTTCTGCCAAAACACTTCAATAGATAACTAGGGCAATAATATTCAATAAAGAAAAGTTAAAATGGCTTATCTGGTTAGTCGACTCAAGGGTATCCTGTTGAAATATATATATATAACACAGCAGGTCTCAGACAGAACACATGACCCAACTAAACAACCCAGAACCCACAGATTAGCCTCTAGTAAAGAATCAACAGCAAACACACTCAACTTTCAAAAAACGACTAAGCCCCCAACCAGGACTCGGCCAAAAATATGCCCTTTGAACCCGTTTATACGGGTTCAGGGTCGGTTTACTTCCCCGAAAGAGACTCCGCCCTTCGGCGTAGCCTCGTTCGGGTTCCTCCCCACCCGAAGGCAGAGAGTTCAACCGATCAGCCGATAAGCCGGTCGCCCGACTTCGGACTGAACTCCCTGCTTCCTCTTGAGGCGTAGTATTTATTACGTATGGAATAGTCCATTATGTTATTATGGGTAAGGTCCCATAACAGAACCTTAAGGAAATTATAGGTAGTAACCAAATTTCAGATGATAAGGTAGCCTATAATCGACCAAAAATAAACACCATACAATTTTCCCAGCCATGTAACAACAAAAGGAGTTTATGCTGTAACCACATTAGACACACCAATTCGTTTACTAAATCTACTTTTAAAACCTACCACAACTCTCACTCTAGAAGCCATAACATAATTTACCTATTAGAATACACAATATAACAGAAAAAAATATGTGGGGAAACCTGAATGGCCCTTTCACTACAGAATTAATAATTATCGGAATCGGATCAAGTCGGCTCCCCACGAAAGATTATTACCCGTAGAACAACAATTCCGTCTAGAAAAACATGATTTTAAAAGCCATGCCAAAGTCACTGTAATAGAAAAAATAGAAATAAACAGAAAAGATTACCATAAAAAAAATTTTAGAAGATGAAGGCAAATGGATTTTGCGCCTCAATATACTTCGTCCAAACGGGCTCAACCACAAATTTAACAACATAGATAGAATTAATATATAACCCCATCAATCCATATTTATCGCCCACACAAGACAGACATGTTTGAAAGTGTTGAGGTCTTACATTTATACACAGTCTCATACCAATATATAGACTTACACACATCATACACCCCCCAAAGAATTAAAAGATAACATACACTTAACACACACATCATTCCCCTCCCAGCCACCAATAAAACTGTCAAAATGACCAAAAGCGAATTCTTCGATTTATGAATCTCCTCAGCCTCTGTTTTATTAACAACTTGAAAGAGGTCGTTTGACCACACAAGGATCAACCAAAATTAACAATAAAAAAACAAATGAAAACTACAGATAAAATTCATTTTCTTCATAAACAGTCATTCACTCCTATAGTTCACTAATACTAACAAGCAGAATTTTTTTCTCCTGATAATGGCCATGCTGTCTGAAACTAGTCGAGGAACCTATTTGAAATAATAAAAGAAAAAATATTAATATACAACCCAGTGTGTCTGAAAATTTTTAAATATTTTTTTTTAATCTTCAAAACACATGGCTTGTTAATATTAACCCCTCCAAGTCAAAACTGCTGTCTTTTAATGGTCTGAGAGAACCCTTTTTACCTTCTATCCGTCTGGCTGATGCTAACCTTCAGGATAGTGGTTCATTGTGTGTTTTCAGACTAACGTTTTCCACTGACGTGAATTGAAAAGATTATATTGAATCTGTTGCTAGGCGTGAAGTTAAGAAAGTTGGTTCAATGTATCGTACTTGACAATTTTTCTCGCCAGAAATCTTACACACTTATAAGTCTACCATTCGTCCATGCATTGAATATTGCTGTTTATTATGATCTAGTCCATATATAGTCAGTAATTCTTGATGAAATCGAATCTGCAATGTTATTGGCCTTTGTCTGGCATCTCGGTATTAATCACTTTTCCATAGCTTCCCTGTGCTTTTTCTATAATGCTTTCATGGTAATTGTTCGGATGAACTTTCCTCTCTAATACGTAGATTGGCGGCAAGGTTTCGTCATTTTACAGTTGAAATGGCTAGATGTAACCGTAAGTTCTATGCTAATAGTTCCTTCTATTGCACTTCTTGGTTGTGGAACTCTTCCGGCTTCTTACTTGGTAGGCTATTTTGACCTGCAATAACTTAAATATAATGTCAATCGTTATCTACTGTCTTCTTAATTCCTGTTCTTTTATTGTTCTCTTTCCTTACTGTTTTTTTTTCTTATTTTCTCTTAACACTCAGTAACCCTTTGTGCCTTAGTGACTTTATTGCCTTACTTGGAGTAAAATAATTAAAAAAATTTTCTTTACTAAGAATTCCTTAATGTGCAGTTCCATAGACATTATGCACACTGCTTAACAAATAAAAATAGTTTTTCATATACGGAGTATCCACAATCATTATAAAGTTGAAACTAATATATATATATATATTGTGAAAAGTGTATATAAATATAAATAAATATATATGTATAATTATTTATATGTTATATGCGCGGTACTTATTAGAAATCGCTCAATATCAGAGATAGAGCTAACATCTATCCAACCAAATAATATATATATATATATATATATATATATATATATATATATATATATATATATATATATATATCAGTGTGTGTGTGTGTGTGTGTGTGTGTGTGTTTTCAGTAGGTTTTATAGGTTGGCCTATCATACTCCTGCACCGTTTTTGAACAGACTTGTAGATGTTTATCCCTTGTTTCCTGTTTAGGATTGGGTTTCTAGTTCCTTCTCAAGTCTACTTCAACTCTATAGTTCTAACGTCTTCCTATAAACTCTGAAGTTTTATTTACTATTTACTTGTTATTTTTCCCCAAAAGGAGTAAATACATTCGCCTACCATCTGGTTTACTTATGTGCATTTATGTCTGTATGAATCAGAGTTGCAGAAATTTATGGCTCATATAAAATTATCAAAGTTTCGGATTTCATCATAAAAAGCCATCGCTCTTGGCTGAAAAGGGAGAATAATACAGTATACACTAATCAAATTAGATGTTAACTCTCCAGCGTTCTACATGTATTTGTTCGTGTGTGACATAAGCCTTGTGTTTCATACAACAGTTCTTAACTGTTACTGACACATATGGTGAAATATTATCTTCTCTTACCGAAGAGTGACGATATTGATCCTCGACTGCACGGTGCCGAACCATAGCGGCAATGGAAGTTGCAATTTCTTGTTCGGCTTAGGAAGATATCCTATCTTTTTCATATGCTATTAAAGCGTCAGATTTTACAAACATTAGTGTACTACAATTTTGGTTCTTATTAATTAGGCATTTTCATACGCTCTATTGAAAAAAAGTTCTTCTGTTTAATTTTCAAGGAAAGAAGGAATAGACATAAAAGACCGGGTAGGAGTGTGAACCAGATGAGAAGCGAACCTACCTACACTTATTGAGGAAAAAATTACAAATAAACAGTGAACAAAATGTCAGAGTTTAGGCGGAGACATTAAAAGAGAGAGTTGAACGGGAAACAGTTATTTTGTTGGAGACTCATATCCGAATATAGGCTCTGTTTCAAAAGTATCCAAGCTTTTTGATTATTTCGAAAACCAGTTGGGCAGCCTTGATGTAACTGAATTATTCATATTATTAAGAAGTCTTTTAGAGATGTTTCAATGGAGCCTGGATATTTGTGGAACGCAATCCACATTCTTAAAGGCTTAGGACAAGAAAAATCGCCGGCAACACGAACGAAATCTGCTACTGACTGGGCGAGAATTAGAACGAGTGTTAAGGATTACACTAGAATTTATTTCGACTGCCCACTGATCACGTTCTCATGCAGGGTTGGGCGAAACATCGCACCGCCTACGACTGACCGCAACACTACAACGATATGTTTTCCCAAAATAAAATAGAAAAAGACGGTGGATGAAATTAAGGAGAACGTGCCGTGGAAGTTTATTGCCGTCTAGAAAAAGGATTCGAAAAGCGTAAGACAGACTTTTCCGTTGAGGTCTTTCAAATATGTTGCCAGATGTAGGATGTTCTCTTTCCTCTAATATCTCTCTCTTCACACACACACACACACAATATATATATATATATATATATATATATATATATATATATATATATATATATACGGGGTGTAACAGCAAAATTGTCCAAATCGCGTAACAGCATGAGATAATTGTCCATCCTACAAAATGTTTAATATCTAAAAATCCATTAAACTAATTGAGTTTATTTTCCCAGATTTTTTTAATTATTCATCTAGAAAACGAACAGGTTAAAATCGTTTTGTGTCAGCCCCACTGCCTTCCCAACTGAGCAATGATGAGAGGAAAATGATCATTAAGGCCTTCACTAATGGTATCAAGAAAACGGTGAATAAGATTTAAAAAGAAGGAACAGTAGAGAGGAAAACTGGATGAGGAGGTCTCAACAGCAGGAGGAATCTTCATTTCAACTCAGAGTTAAATACATTTTTATTGTTAAAAGTAGAGTCCAGTAGTAAAAACCTCGAAGAATTTCAGTAAGATACTTTTCATCATTTCGAAGATACAACTGTTCAAAGTTTAATTTAACAATTGAACAAAAAATTTTAAAAAAATATTATGAAAGGAAAATTTTTTAAAAGAAACGCATATACACACATAAAGTCTATCAGGGGACGAAATGCGGTTAACATAAGTTTTCCTTTTGTTTTTATTCATAAAAAACATCAAAGACAACAACAAAAATTTCTCTGTTGCTGCGCACTTCAACCAACCGTTCCATAACATTGATGACATCAGATGCGTGCTTTTAGCGTCTTCATTCAATAATCGATAAGAAAGACGCAGATCAGAGTCGGAATATATTTTTAAAATAAAAAACACACATTGAGGGATTAAACAAGGATTTGGATTTATACTTAGAGAGTATAATTTCCAAAGGGAACCCTCTAATCAACAATTAACAATATTCCTCAGAAGAGTAAGTCCCACTTCTTTGTTTTTTCTCGTCTCGTTGAAACAGGGCACAGGCGTAATAGAAAATTCCGACTTGAAAATATTTCTCTTTGTGCTTCAATTTAAAAAAAAAGGTTAGTATATAATAATTACCATCAAACTTATTTCCAATATTAATACCATTTTGCTGGCTTTTTATTTTTGAAATGTTATTAACCGGCTTATTGCTGGTAATATTCTTCAAAAAACGTATTGCTGGTAATAATTTTTTACAAAAATGTTTGCTAGTACTTAAACCTATTTTTACACTTTCATAGTATTTTGACCCAAGTTTGGGGGTAAACTATTTGCCCATAGCTGGGACCCTAAAAGGTGCTACCACACGGGGTCAGGGTGTACCTGGGAACACCAGCAATTTAGAGGTGGTCCCACGCTCCTCGAAACCTCCTAATCAGCGGCCTTGCTGTTGGATGTAGTTTATCGTCTTACCCAGGATGCGGATGTAGTTTATCGTCATACCCAGGACGCCATGGTAATTGTCATACAATATCGTCATACCCAGGACGCCATGGTAATTGTTCTGATAAAATCTCCTCTATGGTACCTTGATTTTATGAATTGAAGCATACCATTTTAAAGTTATAATGGCTAGATATAACCGTATGTTCTACGTTAATAGTTTCTTCGATCGCACTTCTCGCTTGTGGAACTCTCTTCCGGTTTATTGCTACCCTATTAAATGCAATGTCAATCGTTATCTTCTGTCTTCTTAATTCTTGTTCTCTCTCATTAATAGTGGGTTTTTTTTTTGGGGGGGGGGGTTCTCAAATTCTCTAACAGTCAATAACCTTTGCATTTTTGTTGCTTTACTGCCTAGCTTGGGATGAAATGATTAGAAATAATGCTCAAATCATGTATTGCAATATATTTGCACGGTATCTGTCTATATTTATGAGATGAGGTATTATGTACATTATTTACATTGTTCGGACTATTGTCCTCATCTTTGTGGTCATATTTATTACAGCGTTTCGGCCGTTGTACGCTCCGGCCTTCTTCAGGTGGTTGGAATGTCGAACTGAAACCTTTATTTCGCTCACTGGGGTAGAGTGTTCTTGTTCCACGTGCTATGTTTAATGGATGTCAGTTATCAATTATCTTCTGTTAATTTCCCTCTGAAAGTTCTCCACTGCCTTAGCCGGGTATTGAACTCACACTTTTTGGGTGCTGTCACTGGATCTAAACAACGCCTCAAGCTCTCAAAAGATTTCAGAGAGGCCGCTATATTCTACCTTTAGAAAAAATCAAGAGGTTTTCTCACTAAGGAAAATGGGGAAAAAATGAATACGTCAATGGGGAAAGAAGGAAGCTAACCCAGTCGAGGTGAAAAAAAGTGGCCAAAAACAAACTGTGGAGGTTGGGAATCTCGATTTGGATCATAAACAAAGTAGAAGCCGGGAACAGACCGGGAACGACACTTACTCACATTAACTAGATACACAAAAAAGGGTCTATCCTTACCAGGGGAAGGATCCACAGGAAGTCACCCCGATGTGACAGGTGGACTTAAAAAGAAAATCGCGGCTAGCTTCGCGAACCAGGCTTGCCGCAGTCACCCACCTTTCGCTGAAACCTGTTGAAACCAATCGCTTTCTATCACTTCTAAACTTCATCTTCAGCTGATGCTCAAAAAATCGGATTAGATTCTGATGAGAATAATGGTCACCTCGCGTCGTCCAAATCACCATTCGGACTGTGGCCAGCAGCAATAGAAATACCATCCATTCCACCCCAGAATACGGGGCTGACACATTGTTACATGCGTACGCGCGATGAATGAGCACAGGCTTTTCGGGGGCGATACGAGCCGTCAGCTCGTCGACATGGTCTCATAGTGGGCGGAACATATACAGGATGATAGTATACTTAACCATCAACCTGTATATGTTAATGCTTACGTATACCACTTTACTTCAGATTATCGTATGTTCATACTAAATTAGTACTAAAACAATGTGGGATTTCAAAGCCTTAAAATAAATAAATAAATCTGAATTAAAATTAATTGTTTTCAAATTTCTATAGCAATACAATTAAAGTAAAAAAAATAATCGTTCATAAGCTTAACCTGTAAATAACGTTTTATCTCGCTAGAAAATCTCGCAGATTTTGTTGGAGTAAATTTATTTTTTGATGACGCCGATTCATCAAAGAAACATATTAAAATATCAGATCGTTGTCGATCATAGCTCTCCACAATTTCCTTTGTATCTCTTAATAAAATATTTTTATCTCTCCTAAACCTTGTACCGCCATCCACGTTATGCTTTGTTTTCCTCTCCCCCTCTTGCCTTCAAACTGTTCTATGAGTATCGTTTTTTCTAAGCCTCTTTCCTTATTATGGGCCCTTGAAATTTCAGCTGCCTCTTCCTGATGTTAAGTGTAAGTATATTTTTTGTTTCAATTTTCTCTCTAAAATTTCGTATTGCTTGCATATCTAGTCAATGGTATAATCATCATCCTTTTGAAGAGTTACGTTTCCATTGCTACAAGTCTCTTCTTCATCTTTAAGGAGATTGTCCAGCATTCACTGACGGATATTACATAATAGTTCAGTACTCATTTCTTTATTTCTAACGTTCATGATACTCTGCTTAGCTTTTAAAAGGCATCTTTGGCTATCCCAATGCGCCATCAGATTTCAATGTTTCACTTTTCGTCCTCTGTTAAAGCACTTCCCGGATATGTAAATTGTTGTACTGGTATTTCCAATTTGTAATTTACACATCGGGCTGTTCTTTTTTGTCAACAGCCATACATTCTGTCTTCTTGCAATTGATGTTTAGTCTTTTCTTCTCGCTTTCCTTCACTACCTTCTGTGGGAGTCCTTGTAGTTTTCTTTCTCTGTCTGCTATCAACACTGTGTCATCTGCATACCTTATGTTGTTAAGATGGTGGCTGCCAACGATGTATCCTGGTTGTAATGTGAAAATTATTGCAGGTAACACAGTAAATCTCTCATTCAAGTTTTAGCTTATAAATTTTGTTTTTTTATTACGTCTTTTATTGTTTTAGACGTAGTTGTAAACAAATTTTATGTTAAGATAAATTCTTTTCAATTATAGAGAGTGGAATAGAGGTGGTAATCCGAACGATATATTATGATTCGTTGGATTTGTCACTTTTTCTGTATTGAAATATCTTATGAGCCTTTTGTTTCATTCTATTACCTGTCATAATTGCGACGAT